TCGTTCATTCTAAAACAATTTTTATTGGTTTCATCTAATGTTATTATGGAACCCTTTTTAAACACTGTGTCATAGGTTTAGTAATTTTTGCAAATTTTTTTATAAATTTTCTATAATCTAAGAGGCCTAAAAATGATTTCATTTCCTTTTGTGTGTTTGGAATAGGGAAATTTTCAATAGTTTGAATTTTTTCAGGGTTTGGTCGTATACCATTTCTAGTAATGATATGCCCTAAGAAGGAGACTTCTTTATGTAGAAATTCGGTTTAATCTAATTGAATTTTAAGATTGTTTTTCCTAATGGTTTCAAAAATTAGTTGTAAGTTCTGTAGACGTTCTTGTAATCCGTTGGAGAAAACTATTATATCATCCATATAAACCATGCATATCTTATTTTGTATCTCTTTTAATACGTTATCCATGCAACGTTGGAAGGTCGCTGGGGCATTCTTCAGTCCGAAAGGCATTCTCGTATATTCGTAATGTCCGTTGTCTACAGTGAGGGCTGTCTTTTCTACTGAGTCTGAATGCATTTCTATTTGATGAAATCCAGAAGCTAAGTCGATTGTAGAAAAATAGGAACTTTTTCCTAATTTATCTAGGATATCCGATATATTCGGTAAGGGATATTTGTCGTTAACGGTCTTCTCATTTATTTTCCTATAGTCTACCACCATTCGCCATTTCCTTTTCCCACTCTGATCCATTTTTTTGGAACTATCCAAACTGGTGAAGAAAATAGACTTTTTGAAGGTCTTATGATACCATTATCTAACTACTGAGTAATTTGTTCGATTTCTTTTTTGTGTATGTAAGGGTATCTATAGCTTTTCGTGTAAACTGGTAAATCGTCTTTCATTCATATCGTGTTTTACTGTATTTGTAAAGGTTAAATTGTCGTTAGTTTTTTGAAAAACGTCACTATATTTTTGCCAGAGTTTGGTCAGTTTTATTTTTTCTTCACGATTGAGGTGATTAGTTCTCAATAAGTCATTAATTTTTAAGTTGGAGTCTAGATGATTTTTAGTATGAAATGAATCAATGAGTCAAAAGAGAAAATGAGAATGAAAAATGAGTCAAAAACAGTGTAGTTTGTAAGGGGTTCAATTTTTATGTCATTGAGGTCAAAGTATGATGGTTGGTGGCTATAATTGTGTAATTCGATTATTAAGGCTTTGTTTTGTACTGTGGATATGGTGTTTGGTAAGTAGTAGTTACCCTTTTGAATCTCATGACTGTAAAACATCGGTGTTCTCTGGGATTTCTACAGGAATACTAAGTTTTGATATTTCACGTTCGTTTAATTTTATGTTAGGTCTGTCATATAATAAGGGCAGTGAAAAATTTTGATTGAAAATTTGGTTTTCAGTTAATGAAATATTAATTTGAAGTTTCAGTATGTCTTCGAGTCCTAAAGCTCCGTCAAAATATTCATGGAAATCATACAGAATTATGTTTAGTGAATCGTCACCATTAAATTCGGGAAAACAAGGGATTAGAGCTTGTTTCTCTACAGCTATTTCACCAATTCCAGTTTTTAGTTTTAAAGGGTCATTTTTGATAAATTGTGGACAGTATTTTTCGACAATGGAGGGTTTCAGAAGTGTTTTGGAACTACCTCTATCGATGAGGAGTTTAATAGGAGGATATTGCAGTTGAATATATGAAAAGGGGCTATAAAAGAAGATATTTTGAAAATCATATGTTATGGATTCGAATTTTGAGGGTCGGTATTCTCGAAAAAATTATTATCTAATTCGTCGTCCCAATTCTCAGATTCTTCAGTATCGTTTTGTTCTTTAACAAAATCTGGGGGAATTTGTAGTTCATTTAATTGTTCATGAGTTAAATGTCCATTGTTTAACATAACGGAGAGTTGGTCTTGTAGATTATCGGATGACCAGCCTGGTGGTATTATGTCTTCTTCAGAATGAAATGACTCATGTGCAGGTCGAGAGATGGACCTGTTAATTGTAGATGTTTGCATTGGTGTTGGTTTGTTTGTATTTAAATTTTGCCCTGGTTTCCAAACATTTGTTTCACCAAAAACTTGATTGCTGTTGGGAAATTAAGTTTTATCGGTTTAGAATTTATTTGAATAGGTCGTGAACACCATTCATTTTGGTTTTTAAATTGAGAAGGGGTTTGAAAATTTCTATATTGAAGAGGGTTTTGAAAGTTTCTGAATTGACGAGGGTTTTGCGAGTTTCTGAATTGAGGAGTATTAAAGTTTTTAAATTGTGGTTTTTGATGTGAATGAAATTCTAAAGGCGATTGGTGTTGTTTTGTTTCGATCGGTTTGATAGTCTGTTTAAGTGATCTCTGATAAGACTGAAATTGTTCTTCTTTTGTAATGAATGTTATTGCTTCATTTAAATCGTTTATTTCCTTAGTACGGACCATTAGTTGTAAATATGTCGGTAAATTACTAACATAAGTGTCTAAGCTTAATTTATTGTAAACAATACTTAGTGCTCGTTTAACTTCTATGCTTTCACCAGATTGTTTTAGTTTAGACATGAGTAATGATTGGTGTTGTAAAATACGATTACTAAAGCCAGTAAGTGTCTCTTTTCTTGCGTCAAAAACAATATGAATAAGATCTTGTTGTAAGGTTGGTAAATCTCACGGATCTCCAAATGTTTCTAACAATAAATTTCTGATTTGTTCCCAATTGTTAAGTTCTAAACGGGTTGAAACAATTGTTTGAGCTTGTCCCGTTAATTTGCTTTTAATGGCTCTTAAAATGAATTTATTTTGTATTTCATTATTTTCTGTATAATAAGATGTAACGAGTTCGTTACATGCGGCTATAAAATCTATTAGTACTGATGGTATTCCAGAAAATGTTGGAATTACATCTATGAACATTTTTAATAATTGATAATTAGTAGCCATATTTATTTCTATCTGATTCAATTCGCGGAGTAAATCGTTCATGTGTTCTTAACCTAATGAAACTTGATACACAGTCAGGTTTATTGTTTTTACCTCAAAAGAAATCAATCCTTTGATAAACAGTCAAAGTTTAATTAATTTTATCGGTAGTGAGTCCTAATTTTACCAAAATACCAATTATGAATTCCTAAAGCAGGGAATTAATGGAAAATGAATTTGGCAGTGACTTACTTGAGCGGTGTGTAATTCGTGCTAATTGTCGATCACCCTTAATAGTTGAGACTGAAGTACTTGAAGAAATCGTCGATCTATCCGGGATATATGGCTTCTTCAATATACTGGATGATCCTACCGACTGCGCCAGTTAAATAACCAGATCGTGCTTTGAGGTTCATAGCAGATGAACACTTCTAAGTTATAACTTATTTATTTGTTCAAACAGCTGGACAACAATATATCAAGAAGTATATTATATTACTGTATATTGAATTAGTGCGTAATGATGATGTCACATAAGAAGCGTGATAAATTTTGATCTAAAACATTAACTCAGATATTTTATATTTATACTGTTCGAAGGTTTTATAAAACTGCAGACATACAGGGCCGGCGGAAGGGTGAAACAGCGAAGCAGATGTTTCAGGCGCATTTTTTTACGTTTACTCGGTTTACTCGCCCTAAACATGTCAACGTCGCGTTGACCGCTTTTGTCTCAAGGACAAGGAACAATTACAATTTCGCGCACAACGCGACACGATTGCTACTGCGCACAACATGGTGACTTAAAAGATGAAATGCAACAAGTGGTAGTTACAGTTATCTCTTGTTTTTTAATTTTAAGTGGAACTAGTAAAAGTATTATTTATAAATTATTTAATACAATTTTGGACACCTGCATTAATTCCATCGAAAGTAGATTTAAGCAGTTGGAACAACATAATAAAATTTTTGATTTTCTGTATAATATCCTAGCTTTAAAAAGTAGAAGCTCTACTGAAATTTTGAAAAGTTGTCATGATTTACATTCACAACTAATAGACGATATAGAACCATTTGAGTTGCATAATGAAATTTTAAATTTTTTTAAGTTAATTAATTTAAACAATAATGAGGGTACAAATCAACTGGATGTACTTAATTATTTAGAAATCAACGAGTCGAGCAAAAATTACCCTAACATCGTAGTATCTTTAAGGATTTTGTTAACCATTCTTGTGTCTGTGACCAGAATAAATTAAAAAAATATTTACGATCAACCATAGCGCAGAAACGGTTAACAGACTTAGCCGTTCTTGCTATCGAGAAAGATATGACAAATAATTTGGTTTACGATGATATTATTGAAGACTATGTAAATGAAAAATGTAGAAAAGTTGATATGTGATATGTGTAAAGGTCTCGTTTTAACATTATTTAGTTTCTTTTTTGTTTTTATTGAATATTTTTTATTTTTGGTTTTATTGGAATATCTGTTTTATTTTTTATAGGATGCTTCTTATAATTTCTGTTTGTCTTTTTGCTAAATATAACTTTTTTTTAATAGATCTGTTCCTGCTGTTCCAACAGTAGTAACTCGTATAAATTTTTTCTTAGAGCGGCAAGCAAATATTTGCTCCAGGTGCCAAATACCCTGACGCCGACCCTGCAGACATAAGTAATAAATGTAATAGTACACATTTCCGTTCCATCCATGTTAATGTATTAAATTATCAGGTAATTGAAATTATAGCTGACCTCGTTGTGAATAAATTCTTGACAAGTTTCCAGAGATGGGATATCATTACTTCTTAAGCGTGGTTGACACCAGCCGAGTAAATGACCGAGTCAGTACGCTCGGCCGAGTGCAAGGTCAATATGGACACAGGGTCCAGTAGTGGAGCGAGCACTCGGTCCAGCAAAGAACCGAGACAGTGAATAGAACAACGTTCTATTCCCTCGGCCGAGAAGTCGATCTTCTTCCACCCCCTCCACACATGACACTGACTCGGTTGCTTATTCGGCATGTAGGGACAAACTTTCAACGTGCAGTGTTATTAAGATTTTGTTTTAACGGCTGTTTGCCGTTTGAATGCTTAAAAAATATAGTGTTTTGTGAAGTTGGAAATGGCAAATAAGTGGAACTCTGAAACAACTTTAAAATTTATTCAAGAATATAAGAGTCATTTGTGCTTGTGGGACTTTAAATTCGAAAATTACAAAAACAGGCAAATGAGAGAAGCAGCTATATTAACAATTATAAAAGTCATGGATATAGAAGGTTTTGGTGTTGTAGAGGCTAAAAATAAAATAAAAAATCTCCGTTCCACTTACAGTCAAGAGATAAAAAAAAATAAAGGATTCCAAGAAATCTGGTACTGGAGTAAGCAGTTTATACGAATCAAACATAAAGTGGTTGAAAGAGTTGGAACCAGTTTTCAGGAATGAAGAGAAGAGAGACACCTATGATAATGTAAGTAAAGGTATTTAATACAACGATTTATTTAATACATAATACATATATAGCTAGTAAATCATTCTACTTTGCCAAGGAACAGCCCCTTCGTTAGAAAAAAAATGAGCGTACTTATCACGTAATTCTCTAGCCAACCTAGATGCATGATTTCCACCAACCTTATCAAGGCTTGGCAATGTTGCTGCTGTTTCACTCCTCCATAAGCCTTCAATGACTTCTCCAGTATTAACAGTTTCTTCGTCAACACTACCTCTGTGCAAGTATGTGCTAGAACTTCTGATTCTTAACCAATTATGTAAAACACACGTAGTTCGTACAATTTTATCAGTTACTCCGACATTTGTCATGATAGGTTTTTGAAATATCCGGAATCGGCTAACTAAAATGCCAAAAGCATTTTCGACAATTCTACGTGCCCTACTTAGCCGATAGTTAAATATTTTCTGTTCTCTTGTCAGAGGTGTATGTGAATATGGCTTTAGTAAATATGTTTTCAGTGAAAAAGCATCATCACCCACTAACAGCCCTCCGTCTGGTAAGATACCGCCATTTTCCATTTCATGGTATATTGAGCAGTTTCTGAAAATACCACCATCAGAGTTTCTTCCTGTTGCGCCAATATTAATATAACTGAAACAGTAGTCATGATTGACGATCACCATCGAAACAATACTGTTCGTCCCTTTGTAATTCCAAAATTCACTGCCACAATGACCAGGTGCTTGGATTGCTACGTGCTTTCCATCGATCGCACCACAACATCCAGGAAAATTCCATCTAATCCTGAATCCGTTTTCTATAACTCTCCATTCTTCATGATTTGCTGGAACCTAAAATATTTTGTTTTAATTTTGCAGAATGAAGAGAGCTCATTAGAAAGTCAAGATCAACTGTCAGCAAGCCGAAATATACAAGAGCATCCACCACCCAACAAAAAAAAGTGTCAAGATACTGTGACCAACCAACAAGTCAGTTCTGCAGGATGTACAGAATCTTCTCGACGAACTACAAAAAAAGAGATATTTCGCGCTATTTCAGATTTAAAAGCTTTGAACGAAAGCGTCTTAGAACCCGTTGAAGACGCACATGATGTATTTGGTAAAAGCGTTGCTATGCAATTAAAGGAATTTTCTGAAGAAAACGCGCTACTTGCTAAATGCAAAATACAAATTATTTTAACTGAAATTGGCATAAAAAATTTGCAACAAAAACGTCATAATACTGTATCCAGCTTGGTTGGATCACGGCCTGAGTCATCTATTTCGTCATGCAGTTACATATCAGTTCCATCTATTTCTCCTGGATATTACTGTCAAACTTCAACATCATCAAATCATGGAGAAATAGATACTCATGGAATTAATGACGTTACTACGTTAAATAACAGTTCAGAAAGCAACATATTGTCTGCAGCACTACGGGCAACCTTTAACACTGAAAATACTACCGATTATCACTAATTTACATAAAAAGTATTATGGACTTGTAAGTTTTTGTAGAATAAACTAGTACAACCTGAATGAGTATTTTTATTACTCTGCATTTTCTGTTTGCTGACGGTGAAGGCTGATGAAAATAAGTCGAAAAAATAATAAAATTTATAACTTATCTTTATGTATTCCTTTAAATAGTTATAAACTGCATCTAAAACTTCAGGGATAAAACGCGATATTGCCGACTTTGATACACGAAACAAATGTTGCAACGTACGATAATTGTTTCCTGTAGCTAGATATGTCAGTGTTATTTGTAATTTTATTTTTGCTGGTATGGAACCTCGCATAATAGTGTCTGATTTTGCAATGACGGCAGATATAATTTCTAATATTCCATTGAATTGTTCAAGATTCATTCTTAGAAATAATCTGTATTCTTTTGTATCTTCGTTTTCTAATTCTTAATTTATTATCGTAGTTGACACCCCGTGCTCTCTTCGCAGCAACCATTGCCTTGTCCAAATTCGTTTTTTCTTGTTATTTATTTCCATTTCTAACTCTCCTATTAAATATGGAATTATAACTCTACTAAACTTTCTTATTCTTTTTCGTTTCTCCATTTTAGTAAAATTTGCACACATGTTATAGACAATCACGAAGAACATACTGAACTCTCTCGCACGTATTCTACTTTTATGTGTAGACAGCTACTCGGTAATGCCACTCGTTCGGCCTAGTATTGCTTTGCTGTCTCGGCCGAGCTACTAGGCTGGTGTCAACCATGCTTTACAAATAGTAATGACCGAAATTAAAAATATATGTTGGTTTCTAACAGAAGTGTATTATAATTAAAATTTACATTATGTTATCAACGTAATAGTCATGTGAATCGGAATTGTATAAATAATTTTTGTAATTTACAAGGACAACTAAAACCAAATAATTTGAGGGGAATAATAAATTGGAATGTAATAAATAATATACGCACTTTTAATACATCAAATAAGCAAACTACATTCAAATAAAAATGTCCCAATTTTATAACCAAAAATTATAAAATTTAAGGTGCACGGCACTGTCGTATCAGTTCATTATACTATTATAGTTTGTATCAGGTTCTCACGTTCTTTTATTTCAAAAGTAATAATTTTTGGAATTGATGTAAAAATGGTATATATTAATTATTTGTTAGTTGATGTATTCAAAGTGTTATTGGTAGTATTCAGGTATATTGTATTGAGTTCAGCATTCCCCCTTAAATTATTTGGATTTGGCTGTCCTTGTAAATTAACAATATTATTTACAAAGTTCTGATTTACATGAAGACGACTATTTCTTTGATACTACTATGTTAATTTTAATTATCCTCTAGTTCTCTAGAGACTAATCTATTTTTAATTTGGGTCGTAACCATTTGTAAGCATCCTAAATCAAATTCGCACTCAGATTAGAAATTAAAAAATCGCTAACAATTTTTTTGCATTTTTGCGTTTGAAAAAAAATTTGAAACAGGCCTTGAAATTGTAAATTTCATTATTAAATTTGGCAGCATAGTACTGAAGGTCTGTAGTTTAAAAAATAATCTTTAAAATTGGTCAATAAATCAAGCTTTAGTGAGGTGGTTCGATTTCAGTTGGGTCACTCTGCATTTGCTAGGTGTAGGTGCAACTTTTCAGCAATTTTTTGAAAAAATCTAGCCCTTGGAGGGAGCTGATATAAGCATCCCCTCAGATATATTTTTTGCTATAACTCGAAAAATTGAATATTCAAAAATACGTATCAGATAGATTGGTTTATTTGGTTGTCATGGTAACGACTTAGAAGTTATAATTGGAATTTGTTTTCAAACTTCGAATACCTCCACAACGAAGCCCGATAGGATTTTTTTTATGAAGTACTACATATATTTTAATCTCCCCTGTATACCCCTTTATTTTTGACATGACTAACCGTCAAACCTATTTTTGGTCATTTGTTTATTTTACTTAAATTAGTCAGCTGATACTTGAAACGTGTTCCACTGAACTTGGCGTTTGTTATATTGATAGAAGGACATATTTTGTATACATCAAATTAAGCAATGTTATAGTAGGTAGTTATTAACTGGAATCCGTTGAAGACGGAAGTATGGTGTTTTGTGTCTCTAGTTTTTCTTATATACTATACTATCATTGTGTATAATTTAATTTTTCAAGAGATGCAGTCTAGAAGTACTCGTTTAGTGGCTCTAGCCCTAAAGAATTATTCAGATGACCAAGGTAAGTTGTCAAAATTCTTTATTAATCGTTCAATCAAGTTTCAAAACAAACTTTCTTTATACTGGAAGTGTTTTAATATTCAGAACGCAGCACATCCCAAAATTAGTGTGTGTTCCAACGAATTCAGTGACTAATGTATTTTTTTACAAATATGAGTCGAAAAATCTTTACTAAGATAATAATACTTATTCCTCCTTTTTGATGGCAACTTATTACTTACATTTCTTTTCAACATTTCAAAATATGTTTTTCTTTATATTTCTTGTTAATTTCAGATAATTCTGATTCTGAAATTATCAGTGACTCCGATGTTACTTACGCTCCTTCAGATGCGGGATTGTATGATGATTTTAACTCCCCAGCATCGGTAGAAATTTCAATACAAGAACTGCAATCGGTCACAGAAAATGAAACGCTAACTTCAGTGGACAATACAAAATTAAAGCGAAATAGACGAAAACATGTTTGAGTCTATTGTAACGTTTCTGTAGGAAACTTTTCTAGGTATTTGGAACGGAACCATGAAGACGAATCCACTGACGTAGTGCCAGTAAAACAATTGCCAGACATGCCCTTTACAGAATATATTCAGAGTTATTTTATAAGAAAGTGGTTTGTAGGTTGTTAAGTTAACGACTTGCTACGTAGCAACTTAATTAACCACCGATTTAACCACTCGACCTAAAATGCGATTTTGTAATTATGGATTTTAAGCAGGTTGCTAAATTTTAACAATAAACACTGCAACTTCACTCCAGTAAACTTAACCTCACTTAAAGTTAATCAATTAATCATTGAAAATTTAGATTCCAGTTACGTACTTAAAATGAACGTGGAAATAGACAACCAAAATAGAAAAAGAAGTTTGAGAATAAGTGGAGAGCAAATGGAGGCAATACTATCGTTCATAGAGACCAATAAAGTAATGCTGTCTGGAAAATTGCATCCTCAAGATATAAAGGAAATTGATAAATTGTGGCAGACGCTAACAGCCCAGTTAAATAGTTTAAGAGGTGCTAGAAAAACCATCGAGGAATGGAAAATACTTTTTATTGAGTGGAAGTCTAAAACAAGGAAAACAGCTAGAGAAATAAGAATTGATCAAACTGGAAGAGGTAAAGGAAAAGTACTTACGGAATTAGAGGAGCGTCTAATGAGCCTTATAGGGTGGATATTTGTATTAGGAAATGATGAGTTACCAGCAGAAATTGATCCCAATCCTGAAAATGGTATGCAGGAAGGCAGGGATGGGCAAGTATAAAATTGACAAGGTTGTAAAATATTACGTTTTTTACAAACGGTAAAATAAGTGTATCTTACGTACAAAATGTACATATTTTACATGTAAAGTATAAAATTCAATATTTTTTCTAGTTACCCATCCCTGCAGGAAGGTATGGAAAGTGAAACCATTAAGAACAACGAAAATATAAACTATTCGAATATGTGTTCTGATAAGTATGTTGTACCTAAAGCATCACAAGGATGTGCATTTTTGAAGGAAAGAAGTACAAAAAAAGGAAAGGCAGTTCATTCAGGAGGGTCTCAGCAGCAGCAGATGAAGGAAACCTTAGAATTTTATGCAGAAAGTTCCAAAAACACTGCAGATGCAATAACTCAGTTATCACAAAGTATTACTTAAGTGGCTGATGTTATAACAAAATATGCTAATGCCATTGAACTATCTGCAATGATAGAGGTTACAAAAAGTGGTATTACTGTAGAACCGTATGAAGAGGGTTACCTGGTGTCAAAATAGGGGTAATTATTTTCTTAAGTGTAACCTCAAAATTTTCTGAAATTTTGCCTATCCCTATTTTCGAGGGTGCTGATCACGAAAATATTAAATTATTATTTGGCGGTTGAATGTAGTTTTCGAGAAAAAAAAATCTAAATTATGAACTCTACAGTATATAAAGTCGAAGTTGCATTACAGCCAGCATATCCACCATTTCGTGGCGTCACACTGTTGTCAAAATGAAAGGGTCTATATTGTACCTTATGTACTTTATACACAGAGTTCATAATTTAGAAATTATCTTCTCAAAAACTACATTCGATCACAAAAAAATAATTTCAGGTTTGTGATCATCACCCTCGAAAATAGGGGGGGTAGGAAAAATTTCAGGAAATTTTGAGAGGGTTATGCTTAAGTAAATAATTACCAAAATAGGATATCACTTATTTCTTTAGATATGTAAAATATTTATAAAGTACCTAGTCTATTTAGATTGTGCTGTTTAATTATTTATTGTTATTTTTTAGAATAAATTATTTTATTTTTAGTATACTATACCACTCTAGATTTGTTTGATAGTGAATATGTGAAAAATGTATGTACTAAATCAACGTAACTGGCAAGTATTTATTCAGTAAAAATACATAAATACTTAGACATGTTGAAAGTGATTATTTATAAGATTATTTCGAGTCCTTCTTCCTGCCGCTAGCCAATAATTAGCATCTTGCAAACCATCTAAAAAATAATATATAAATATACAGGGTGTAACGGATGCTGATGGCCAAACTTCAGGGGGTTATTAAACAAGTAATTTTCAACAAAAAAGTAATATAAGATTTTTTTGGAATGTTGATAGTTGCTCTTTTATTTAACATTTTTTGATTTCAAAAAATTTTGCTCCTTTTTTCATAAAAACAAAAATATCTCTGTTATTCTTACAGCCACATCAAATTTAGACATACCATCGGAAAGAGCATTAAATTTACTACAAGACGAGCATATATGAGTGTTTAAAAAATCTTCTATACCAGGTGCTGTAAAAAGTTAAATGTAATAATTGTGAAATGAGCAAAATTAGTGGTATC